TGCCCCGGTGTTACACAGCGACGGTACTGTCCCCCAGTGTTATACAGTGACGGACCTGTCCCACAGTGTTATACAGTGACCGACCTGTCCCCACCGGTACTGTGCCCCAATGTTATACAGTGACAGACCTGTCCCCACCGGTACTGTACCCCAGTGTTATACAGCGACAGTACTGTGCCCCGGTGTTATACAGCGACGGTACTGTCCCCCAGTGTTATACAGCGACGGTACTGTCCCCCAGTGTTATACAGCGACGGTACTGTGCCCCGGTGTTACACAGCGACGGTACTGTCCCACAGTGTTATACAGTGACAGACCTGTCCCCACCGGTACTGTGCCCCAGTGTTATACAGTGACAGACCTGTCCCCACCGGTACTCTACCCCAATGTTATACAGTGACAGACCTGTCCCCACCGGTACTGTCCCCCAGTGTTATACAGCGACGGTACTGTGCCCCGGTGTTACACAGCGACGGTACTGTGCCCTGGTGTTATACAGTGACGGTACTGTCCCACAGTGTTATACAGTGACAGACCTGTCCCCACCGGTACTGTGCCCCAGTGTTATACAGTGACAGACCTGTCCCCACCAGTACTGTACCCCAGTGTTATACAGCGACCGACCTGTCCCCACCGGTACTCTACCCCAATGTTATACAGTGACAGACCTGTCCCCACCGGTACTCTACCCCAATGTTATACAGTGACAGACCTGTCCCCACCGGTACTGTACCCCAGTGTTATACAGTGACAGACCTGTCCCCACATGATGACACTGCTCACCTTCTTCAGTAGCTGATGGGGCAGGTAGGATAAGTCTGCACTTCCCAGTGCTCCAGTCTGCGTCAGCGTTGTAATCACTGCCCCGCCAGACTGTAACAGGACAGAGGTTGTTAATGAACAGTGACACCCCCATGTTATATCCAGGAACAGACTTTTGCTGATATCTGACTTTTTCAGTTTGCAGCCATTGAAATGTTTCTTGGGTAAGCAGCCACCTGTTCCTGTCCAGCAAACTCTGACCAAGGACAACACAATACCAAGCAGCTCCTTCGTTTTGCTTTGGGTCTGATGCTGTTTGTAGCCAAAAGGAGTTTACAGAGGACTGCCCTGTTGTTCTTCAGATCACACCCCTGGGCTTTGTGTCTCCACGAAAGGCCTCAGTTTTAGGTATCATCCCTCCGACAGTGCGGCGCTCCCCCGGCGCTGACCCTGCGACAGTGCGGCGCTCACCCTGCGACAGTGCGGCGCTCA